TGATATTAAAATTTTGACTTTTTTTTTTTTTTTGGTGGACTACAAAACTTGGTATCTCTGCAAATTTAATTTAGACGTTTGTTATTCAGGGCGATGTATTGATAAAATTAATTCGTCTTTAATGGAAACTATTTTAACCTCTCGTTTGTTATTATTATTATTAATTGCATCGATGACAATTGGTATTTTAACGTCAACTCTTGATCAAATGTTATATACAAGATATTCGTACGAGAAGAATTTGTTCTCTTAACAAGATTTTTAATCTTTGAATCGAGTTACAAGTTATGTCCAATTTATATTCATTCGTTAGTTTTACCAGTCGAGAGTTAACGTTCGATATTAATTTAATTACGTGTGATCATTGAAAATTATATAGCATTATTGTTAATGTATAATTATTATTAGTGCGTAGTTTTTGGTGTTATCGGAGGAAGGTGTATCTTTGTATTATTCCGTACAAATCCAAGATTTAGAGTGTATATATATGGTGTAAATTAATTTCGACGCGGCAAAGAATAGTAAATTTTAAGTCCTCTCAATTTTCACTCGCGAAGCGAGTCGATCGATTTGCAAAGTATTTCTGTGAAAAGGAAGAAAAAACGCAATAAAGTTAATGGAAATAAATATCGATCATCTTGAAACCAATGTTTTTTGAATTCATAGTTTTTACAAAAATTGGCAAAAGAAAAATATCTTTCCACGATAAATTTGATTAAAATGTCTACGAGAGTTTCGCAAACGTGATTTCATTTCAAATATATATATATATATTTTTAGGTTCGTGAAATCTAGTGCAGTAATTAGCGTAGTTATTCGAGCAAAGTAACAATACGTGTGCACGTATTTTTAAAATTTCTTTCGCAAAGACAGCTTTTCATTTGTTTCTTTTTACCGCTGATAAGGACAAAGAAGTGAATCGAACTGAAAAGTTTCAATTGTAGTGCACGGCTGTCGAAACGGCGTTGTAACTAACGTCGTTGCAAATAGGTTTACGTTCAATGAAAAAGTTGCTCGTGATAATAAACTTCTACAGAATTTCCGATACGTTGTTCGCGATGCGGAAAGAGGAGAGGAAATATCTGCATACATTTTGCGCAATAAAGAATTATTTCGTCCATTTTTCGTCACGAAAGTATATATTGTTCGTTATAAAATAACAAATCGATACGTATCGATTTTGATTATATATTTAAATACAATGTAGAAACTGTTGTATGCACAAACGTGCATTAAGTATGAGGATATTGTATTAGAATGTATGGTTGGCAACATTACACGTTTAAACGTACCTCGATATAACTAACGCCATCTAGATTTTAATAATAATTAAATCGTTAATAATTACACTAATGACTGACCGACTGGTGTTATTCAATAATTCGTAGCTTTTGATATTATCGTTATTCAACGATTCGTTGTTCATCCGTGCTTGATAAATGTATATACGGGAATCGTCGTTGATAGCACAGTTGGAAAGATAAAAAAATTTGAAAATGGGAGACGCGTGGTTGGAATAAAAATTAATCTGTCGCTTCATCGGTTACATGGAGAACGTTCACGACGAGAAGTGGGATTAAATCAACGGCCAAGAAGGCGATTAACGTAATCCATTCGAGAATAGAGAATTTACTTTTCACGTTATATTCTTATTCCAGCTTTATTTTCATTTCATCCTGTCCTTACCTATGTCCTCCCCCTATTGTATCGCCTCGAGTTCCTATTATCCTATTCCCCGCGTGAAGTTGACGTGAAATTGTTACAATACCTTTCTCAATTCGTTCCCAGGAACACGATGATTACTTTGGCTCGCGATACGTGGCATTGCAAAGAGGCGAAACGAAATTAAAATACAAAACGAATGGAATGCGATGCAATCTTTTTAACGATATAAAGAACGATTAAGATTTTTACTTTTTTTCCGCCCCCCCCCCTCCTTTTTAAGAAAATCGAATAATTTCTTCCACGAAAATGCAGAAAAAAAAAATACACCAATATCGTTCATCGACCAACGTTCGACTCGAACGTTTCTTCCGAAGAAAGATCGTATCACTTTTGACTCTTGTTCCAAAGAGAGAAGATTCCTCTGCGTGGAATCGCGACTTTTTTTTTTTTACCAAAGTTGGCTAAATTGAACCCCTCGTCGAGTGACAATCCTTGCCGACATTTTTTTTTTTTTACAACCTATTCGAATTCCCCTGTTAAGTTTCTCCAACGAAGCGCCTCGTTTTTCTTTCTTTCTTTCTTTCAAAATTGTCGGTGACGCGTTTGAAACAACATTTCTCGCTCTCCAATAAGCGCGTTGGATAATAAGGGGAATCAAGGGAATTAATAATAATAAAATAGAGGCGATACGTATATATATATACAAGGCTTCACTCTATTTCTTTCGATAGGAAGGAGGAGCGTGAATAATAAAAGATGTTGGTGTTAATGTTGGGAAACAGGTGATCAGCATAGTCTCGGTCCTGTTCATCTGCATCTCGATCCTGTCGTTCTGCCTGAAGACGCATCCGGACATGCGGGTGCCGGTGATCGTGAACCGTTCGGTGAACACGGGGAACGGGAGCTCCTGGGCGGTGGACAAAACGCACACGAACGCTCACGACTTCTTTTTCTACATCGAGTGCGTGTGCAACGCCTGGTTCACCCTCGAGTTCCTGATACGGATCACCGCAAGCCCGAACCGGTGCGTGTTCATCAAGAGCTCGGTGAACCTGATCGACATGGTCGCTACCCTGAGCTTCTACCTCGACCTGGCCCTCCAACGCTTCGCCTCCCACCTCGAGAACGCGGACATCCTCGAGTTCTTGAGCATAATACGCATCATGAGACTGTTCAAGCTGACACGCCACTCGTCCGGCCTCAAGATCCTGATCCAGACGTTCCGCGCATCCGCCAAAGAGCTGACCCTTCTTGTATTCTTCCTGGTCCTCGGCATCGTGATATTCGCGAGCCTGGTCTATTACGCGGAGCGTACCCAGTACAATCCGAAGAACGACTTCAAGAGCATACCGTTGGGCCTGTGGTGGGCCCTGGTCACGATGACCACGGTCGGCTACGGGGACATGGTGCCCAAGACCTACGTGGGCATGTTCGTGGGCGCCCTCTGCGCCCTGGCCGGCGTGCTGACCATCGCCCTGCCGGTGCCCGTGATCGTCAGCAACTTTGCGATGTATTACAGTCACACGCAGGCGCGAGCCAAGCTGCCCAAGAAGAGGCGCCGCGTGCTTCCGGTCGAGCAGCCGAGGGTCCGGGCCGCGCCGCTGGGCGGAGGGGTGGCGGGCGCGCAGGGGCCCCCGGCCTACACCCAACACCACCACATGCACCCGGGTGGGCCCGCGTCGGGGGCCGCCCCTGGACACGGGCAGACGCCCGGGATCGGGTGCATAGGCGGCCAGGGGCCTCAGAACAGACGGATGAACGCCATCAAGACCAATCATCCCAAGGATGTTTCGTTCGCCGCGAAAACAGGTAAGTTCTCCACGCTTGCTCCATCCTCGATCCCTCTTCTTTTTCCCCCCGGATTCCTCTTTTCTCTCGGGTTGAAAAATTGTTGGAAAGTGGAATTCCAACGCGGAATTCCATTTATTTGTTACCGATCGTATCGTATTTTTTTGCGGTCAATTTGTTGATTTTTCTTAATTTATTTTATCTTCGATTGTTTCATTAGATACGTTTATTGTTAAAGTTGATAATGAAAATACTGGAAACGAGTGCTTTTATATAAAAAAAAAGTGGGGATAGGAAGGTAGGTTTTATCACAGGATGCTATTAAAGAAAATAGCCGACCATTGATGGATTTCGAAGCCATACCCATTGTGCGATCGCCCGCTCTTATCCACGTTTCTTACGCGTACAGAGAATGAGCGAATGTAAAGTTGAAACGACCGAAAGGGATCGTATTAAAATTTATTGCTATTAAACATCGAATAATAATAATAATTGTATATCGGAAGCCACTTAGATAGATCCCTCCCCCTATCCACACAATAGATAAACAAATCGTTGTGCTACGGTGCTGTCTGGTGAGCGAAAAGACGAAACGAGAAAAGAGAAAGAAAAGAAGTGTTAGCCGAGACGCGAGCCAATTTAGCAGTAATTGTCGGCCGGGCGGAAAAGTCTGTAGTGTCTTTGTTTTCCTGTTCTTCTTGTACGGTGGGTTCCAGAGGAGGAGCGGAGGAACTCTAACCTGCGGACCAACGGGACCAAGATAGCCGGAGGTTTGGGTTAAAGCTGGAACCAACACTACTCTCCACTGCCAAGGCGCGCTCGACAAGGGGCGTCGGGACGTCGACCTATCGAGTCGAATGCGGGGAATACGGAGTGAAGGAGAGGAAGGAAGGAAGCCGGGTAAAGGAGGGGAAAGATCGGAGGAGGAACGAGCTCGAGGCGGGGGTATCAAGATTGCATGATCTATAAGGGAATATTAGATCGGCGCGGACCCGAATGTCGGATTTTTTTCATCCCAGCCACGTCTCTTTCAGCGCGTCAATTATTTACGCGCGTCCCCTCTTATTTTTCGTTCCCTTCCTTTTTGCACGCGTGTTGCCGAGAGAGAGAGAGAGAGAGAGAGAGTAGTGGAGTATTGTA